CTCCTGGGCTCAAGCGAGTCTCCTGTCTCCACCTCCCAAGTAGCTGGGACCACAGGCGCCCGCCACAACGCCCGGCTATTTTTTTTGGTTGCAGCTGTCATTGTTGTTTGGCGGGTCCAGGCTGGGGATTCGAACCCGCCACCTTAGATGTACGTGGCTAGCGCCTTAGCTGGTTGAGCTATAGGCACCTAGCTGGCCTCTGTGATTTATAAAGGTGGTAGTCGAGTGTTTATATATATGAGAGAGCACCAGTATAGAATCTGGTTCAGTGGTGGAAGTCCTTGACTGGTCACTGTCACTCACTCAGACAGTCCAGTGGTTCCTACAGGTCCCAGGTCTCACTGGCCCTGCCCTTGCCTGTGCAGACACCAGGGAGGAGAAGCAGCTCTCACCAGCTTGGGCATCATCTTGCCTCAGGGGCCTCTCACCTACAAGTGCTGGGCCAGTGCCTGGTCACTTCCCCATTACTGTACATCCCTATGGGGATGAAGTTCTCCCCCTTGTTGGGGTTGCCCACAGGACCAGCATGGTGGTTCAGCTCAGTGCCACACAGGCCATAGACAGCACTGCCACTCTCCCTGGTGGAATGGGGAGGCATTTTAGCAGCAAACTCTCTTCCCAGTCAATGCAAGGGAGATGCTGCCAGGGAATGTGTATGCATACAAGTATACACTGCACTGGCACCTTGCAACAGCCTGAGAGCAAACATGCTTCCTTACAAGAGTGTCAGTGTCTATGTCAGCATAGGCCAGTGCTCTGAGGGATGTGGGCAAGGCAGATAGCCAGAGCTCAGGCACAGAAGCGGGAGGGACACCCCTGATAAGGTCCTATCTGAGACCCAAAGGGAGGGAGCCAGAAGGGTAGTGTGTGTGCGTCCTGGCTTCACAACAGCTGGCTGTGTCTCTCCAGGACCAGTGTTTGGGGACAAGGAAGGACCTCGGAGTAGAGGTCCATGTCTGGCTCTATAGAGCCAATCCTGACATGGGAATGGGATTCCATTAGCTCCTGAGGGCCCCTACCGTGTTTCCCCAAAAATAAGACACTGTCTTATATTTATTTTTTCTCAAGAAGACACACTAGGGCTTATTTTCAGGGGATGTCTTATTTTTATTAAGTATAATACAACAATCTACATTTATTCAAATACAGTTAAGTCATCTTCTTCTGGAACCTGACAGGAGGAGCCAACCTTGGTGGGGCTGGCGCTAGTGATGCGTGAACTCCTTTCCCCTAACCGTTTCCACGTGCCAATAGAATGCCTGCGACCTCGGTTACCACCGGCACAAGTGCGAATGACTTGGAGAAAGGAGCTGTGGCAGATAAAAGGTATTCCAGTCTTCCTTACTGCTCCATGCTGAAATATCCGCATAGTATATCTGCATAGCCACTCCAATCACTAGGTCTTATTATGGGAGTAGGGCTATATTTAACAAATGCATAGAAATCCTGCTAGAGCTTATTTTTTGGGTAGGTCTTATTTTGGGGGAAACATGGTACCTGGTCTGTAGTGAGATTTCGATGAGCTAGCATGCTGAGAATGCTTCCTGATCACAGAAGACAGCTGACAAACAGGCTGAACATGCCAAGCCCTCTCTTTGCAAGACTGGAGAAGGGTGATGAAGACACTGAGGCTGACATACAGGGTGCTGCCACCCTGGAACAGAGACAGAGCCCGAGGCCCCTGCCTGCCTTTCCTGGTGGAGGCTCTGGTGGGCTTGAGAGCCTGAGAAATCAGGTCAGAAAATGGGATGGGTCTGGAGATGTTCCCAGGGTGATGGGAACAGAATGGAGTTGTCAGAGTGCCATGTGCCTTCTACTAAGTCTCCTGGGGTCTGCCCCACACAGCACAGGGATAGCAGCTAGGACCCTTGACAGCTCTGGGAATCTCCTCCTTGTGCCTGCAGGCTCCTGAGCCCCAGCCTGGTGGGGGGGGTGTCAGTCCCACCTGGAGGACTCCTAGCCAACGCAGTGCTGAGGGACATCCACAGAGGAACAATGGCCTCCTCCCTCTATAGGAAGCTCAGGCCTGTGTGGCTCAAACCTCAGAGCCAGGTTTAGTGACAAACACCTGCCCAGGAGTGTCCTCGGCTAAGGCTAGTTTTCACTGTGCTACTGACTCGCTGTAACTCCCAGTGTATATACTGTCCTCTCCCTGTGCCTTAAGTTTCCACATCTGTAAAAGAATATGTTTGGCATTTGATCCTGGGACCCCCCATTCCTGCTTGTCTGCCAGTTGCCCCTGCAGCTTCCTCACCAGGCCCCACCCAGACAAGACGCAGCCGAGCCCCACAGGGCGGGTGAGAGGTCCCTACCTTTTGAAGCTCACAACACCCTTTGGGATTCCTGTGGGGGTTTTGAAGGCTGGCAGGAGTTTCTCTCCGAGCTTGATGGCCTTTATGCGGAACACCTGTAAAGTAAGGGGCAAAGGCCACTGTGAAGCCCAGGGCTCAGGGCTACACAGGGTGGGGTCATGCCAAGAAGCTGCTGCTGGCAGGATAAACCCATCACAGCTGCGACCTGAGCAGAAGGCAGCTCAGCTGGGTGCCTTGCCCCTCTGACCAATGGCAGTGTGGCCTTCATGGAAGCACTTCCTCTGAATTCCAGTTTCTTTGCCATAACATGAAGGTAATCTTGTCTTCCTCAGAGGCTACTGGTGTGATGAAAATGAGACTACTGCTGTGAAGCATTTACCATAGTGTCAGGACTCTTATGCAGGCTTGATGCTAGAATTGTGCTCAGGTGACCACTGGCAGATGAAGGGGACAGCAGGCAGGGCAGAGGGGAGGAGGCCATTTCCAAGTCCAGATGAAGACCTGGCTGGTCCCCATTGGGCAGTGCCTGCCCACACCATGGGACCAGGATGTCACAGGCTGGAGGCATGAGAAACAGGTGGGGCCATCTGCACAGAGTATAAAAAGCAGTGCTCTGGGGGCCAAGACCCAGGAACTACCCACAGGTTCCAGAATCACCATCTTCTGGGCAACAGTTCCCCTTCCTGAGTCCAACATGCTGATTCCACTGATGTCCCCATGGCACAGATGGGGATGAGGGACAGGGTGAATGGCTCTTCCCAACCCACCTACAACATGGTAAGGGAGCCATAAAGAGGTCCCAGGCTTCACAGCCCTGCCAAGGCTCTGACCCTTGAACTATCCTTCTGAAATTCTTGATAAAGTCAAAAGGACCTCTGGCCTTCTGACTCAGTGGCTTCCCCAGTAGGAATTGATAATCAAGGATGTTGTAAAGATTTACTTTTGTGGGTACTTATGCCAGCATTGTTTAGAATAGTGGGGAAAAAATGGGAATACTCTAAATACCAAAAAATAGAGAAGTAGTTAAATGATGGTTCATCTACACAATGAGCCTCATGCAAGCCTCTAAGATAATGGCACAGGAGAATAAGAAAAGGTTTATACTCTATTAAGAGAAAAACATTTCAAAATGGAGTAATTCAGCTTAAAGAAATTGTATGGTTCAGTGCCTGTAGCTTAGTGATTAGAGCACCGGCCACATACAACCGGGGCTGGTGGGTTTGAACCCAGCCTGAGCCTGCCAACAACAATAACAACAAAATAGCCGGGCATTGTGGCAGGCACCTATAGTCCCAGCTAAAAGGGAGGCTGAGGTAACAGAATCACTTAAGCCCAAGAGTTTGAGGTTGCTGTGAGCTGTGACGCTGGGGCACTCTACTGAGGGCAACAATGTGAGACTCTGTCTCAAAAAATAAATAAATAAATAAATAAATAGTATGGATGTGTGAGGAAAAGAAGGAGATACATCAAAATATGAGTAATGGTCTTCTTAGAGGGTTTAGCTGATGGGTGACTTTTGTTTTGGGGGAGCTTATCTCTATCTTCTGTGTGATTTGATAATAAAAACGAACCCACAATAAATATTTATTTTTAAAGTGGAGACACAAGGTCCCAAACAACCGCTCCAAGTGGTAGGCACGTGGGTCTTTTCACTTCTGGAACTTGAGGGTGACCCAGTTTGCTGCCCTCCTGTGGTTGCTGAAAAACAGAATCTTCTTGAGTCCCCACTCATACCCCAATAATTAATAATTGCTGAGGCAGCTATTGAGGGAACAGAAGGGGAAGAATTTCAGGGTATTTTGAACTAGGATATGGACTTGAGGCCTTTGAGGGGTGAGCCTCTTGCAAAGGGAGGAAGCAAAGAGCTGCGCTGGGGGCCAGCTGGGATGGGCCAGAGAAGATGAGAATGTCCAGCGCCAGACAGGGGGCCCTAGGAGCAGGCACAGGGATCAGTCACATCAGATCCCTTGGGGAGCTGGTCTAGATTCCAGGTTCTAAAGCCTCAAGTCACCCTAGTCACTAGGATACTCTGGGGTATTCTAGTGCATGGCCAGGTTTGGAAGCCACTGGTTTAACAATAGCGAAGGGTTCTCAAGGCCCTTGCTCTCACCTGAAAGGCACAAAGCAGCCCATTCATGACAAGCAAATGAACCCAGGAGAACAGGAATCCAAGGCTACCCTTGGCCCTGAGAAGCTGAGCTAACTCTTCCTAAGTGCTCCTCTCTGCTGGATGCCATGTCTCCTCCTTTGGAGGTCCTAGAGAAGGCCCTATGGCTAGCTGGCACTGTAGGAGGATGACTTCCAGAACAGGGGTGAATGAAAGCAGCAAGGATTATATATTCTGTAGGCAAGAAAGGGCCAGGGCTAGGAGTCAGTGCCTGGGGTCAGATCCTCCCACTTAGCACCCAGGTGCTAAGATATGTGGGTGGGCCTTGGGTGGGCCACATACTATCTCTGAACCTTGGTGCCCTGGATGCTTTGCGGGCTTTTAATGGAAATTGAATGAGAAGATGTGTATCTGTGAAATGTGCTTCATTAACTGTGAAGTTTTGTGCCAGCATCACTTGGTGCAGCTGGGTTGTGTATAACCACATGGGAGCTGAGCCTCAGGAGGACCAGCCTGCTCAGCAGGGATCCTTCTCCTGTAGCTTCCCTCTGACGCAGAGAAAGCTTCAGCCCAGGAAGAGATGTGGGGTCTCTTTAATATTTACCCCATAAACATTGAGGGAAATTTCATGAATGGAAAGACCTACTTAATAGGTTCCTGTGTGTGAGCTCCAGGAGTAGAGAGGGGGGAGGACTCAGTCTGGTGTGGCTGAGCCTTGATGACAAGTAGTAGCTCCAGGCCCAGCTACAACTCAGGCACAGAGCAGAAAGGAGTCAAGCACAGCACAGCTCATAGATTGAGACCTGAGCAAGTTGCTTCTAAGTTTCTATATCCTCATTTACAACTTGGTGACAAGACTCATCTGATGGGCTATTTGAGGCTCACAAGCTTGTACACACAGGTCATGCAGCACATAGCTGGCATAGGGAGGTGTTTGGGTGCAGAAGGGGCTCATAGAGGGGTGGTTGTGGGCAGGGGCTGTACTGACAGACTCAGGAGCCACTCGCCCAGGGGTTCTGACCATGCTGGCCAATCCTTGGATCCTTTGAGCTGTTTCTCCAAATTAGGTGTCTGGTCCCCTTTAGGGAATTCTCAGAACCACAGACACCCTAGGGGAAGGAAGGAAGATGAATGGGGGTAGTATGGGGAAGAACAATGGGTCTGAGGAGCCACCAAATCCTCCCTGAACTGCTGACCTGCAAGTCAAGCTCCATGATCCCCAAGCTGCATCCTTTCCCTCCTTTCTCGCCACCATTTCCACCAACCATGGAAAGGCTGGGCAGATGCCCGGGAAGAGCATGGATGTCTTCTTCTGCTCCTTCATTTTCCTGGGGTTCTCAAATGAAATGCAGGCTTTGGGTGGCTCAAAGCTGGGGACTCCCATCTATAATTACTTAGGGACAAATTGGTTGAAGCAGTAATCTCTGCAGAGGAGATTATGCTTGATGGAGAGAGGCCTAAAGTGACAGGAGAGATAAAGTGCATGCCTGTTGCCTCTAAACCCTTGACTTCAGCCTGTGAGACCGTAAAAGTAGAGGGAAGCAGAAATGACTTTTTAGACAACAGCAGTGGAGGTGAAGAGGGATTATTTTGTGGTTTGCCTGTCTTACCTCCACGGTTCCTCAGGCAGCAGATGGGGGCATAATTATTTGTCTCTGGGTGGACAGAACAGGGGGGCTCCATATCAGCCTCTCTACATAGCAGGGACCAGAACTGACCATTGACATATGTTCTGAGGACTTGCTGACTAGACCTCCAGACACTCCTGCTGTGCTCTTATGGGAGGTCCTGAGGAAGATAAAGAAGCCTCCCATTTCCACGGAGCTCTGTGGTTTCCACATTTCTCTGGCAGAGAGGAGAATATGGGTTGTGGAGCCAGCAGCCCTGGGGTCACACTCTTGCCCTCTTACCCCATTTTATAAGAGCTCTTTGAGCTTAGGGGTACTAGGACCATCCCATGTTGCGGAAGGAAGGAAGTGGGGCCCAGGGGTGGGAGAAAGAACTTGCAAAGGTCACGAGCAGGGAGTGTGGTGTGGGGCTGAGGTTCAGGTTCCCTGACAGCACCTGGCTCTGCCTTCTCGTCCCACAACCTTTGCAGTCCTCCTGGAAACTGATGCAGCTCACCTGGGGGCAAGGCCTCATGCTTACGACACACGACCAGATGCGCTGCCCCCTCTCCTGTGGCCCCCTTGAGACCTGGAGAGGTGTCTGGCTGGTGGAAGGCCCAGGAGGCAGACAACTGTGGGAAAAGTGAATACAGTCTTGGCTTTATGAGTCCCGAGAACCAAAACACTTGTGAAAATCAGCCCAGATCCTTGCTGGGTGCCGTGGAATCTGAGTGGATGGTGTGTGGACCCAGCTGGTGCCCTCAGAGAATTTACTTCCACCTGTGGGAGCCAATGAGCTCACCTGGGCAGCAGAATAGAGGCATCAGAGAGAAAACGAGGAAGAGGCTTCAGGTGGCACCTGGAAAACAGGTCCTCCTCATGGGGGGGGGTGGCTCTGCCCCCTTAAAGCCTTTTCTTGTTGGTGGAATGTGAGGTGAGGGTAGCTCATGGGCTTTGAGGGGCCAACTTACCTCTTCTCCAGTCAGGTAGAAGGCTGAGAGGAGTCCTCCAATGTAGCGGATGTTCACCTCAAACAAGGATGCTTCACCACTCTGCAGGACAGACAGAAGAAGGGAGGATAGCAGAGACACTTGTGAGATGCCTACAGAGGCTCCCAGAGGCAGCTGGTCCCTTGAGACAGGTCACCCTGGCCGCTAACCTGTGCCTGGCTTTGGGGTAACCCCAGTGGGCCAGGCAGCAAACACTTGGTGGTGGTTTTCATAGCAAAAGTCCAGAGGGATCAGTACCTGCCTGGCAGTGGGTGGCAACTGCACATTCACAGCGTGAATGCTGGCTTCCCTTCCTTCCCCAGCCCTTGCCCGAGGCCATGGGAACAGTTATGCTCCAAGAAGCTCAAGAACCTGCCTTGGGAGCTTCCAGGCTGAAGCTTAGCCTGAGGGCAGGCAGATGCTGCCCAGTGACCAGCACCTTCTCAGTGCCTCAGCTCCTGAGCCTGCAGGGCACCTCCACCACTGCCTTAATCCTTGCTATTTTCTTTCTTCAGTTGGGACTTCAAAAATCCCACCTGAGGCTCGGTGCCTGTAACACTGTGGTTATGGCACTGGCCACATGCACCGAGGGTGGCAGGTTTGAACCTGGCCTGGGCCAGCTAAACAACAATGACAACTGTGACAAAAAATAGCTGGCCATTGTGGTGGCTGTCTGTAGCCCCAGTTACTTGGGAGGCTGAGGCAAGAGAATCGCTTAAGCTCAAGAGTTTGAATTGCTGTGAGCTGTGATGCCACAGCACTTTACTGAGGGTCACATAGTGAGACTCTGTCTCGAAAAAAGAAAAAATCCCACCTGAGCCCCTTACTTGGCTTTGGCACTTTAGACAAGTTTCTCCAATTGCAGAGCAAGGGCTAACAATGCCTCCCACATGGGTAGATGTGGGACATAGGGGTGCTACAGGTGAGAGGCCTGCCCAGAGCCTGCTGGCACCTGCCTTGCCCCGGAGGACTCTCTAGCCTGCTCTCCATGTCACAGTCCTTATTACCGACAACAGTGCTCATCTGTTAGTCTGGGAGAACATTCTCATCCACAAAGCTCTTGCAAAAACCTTTCTTTTTCAGCCTCATAGTGCTTGATGAGGTCATGTGGCAGGTGTCATCAGTCCCATTTTTCAGATGAGAAAGTCAAGGTTCACCTTGCTTTCTTCCAAGGACCCTCCTTAACCTGCTCCAGCCTACCTGAGTGGCCCCAGGCTCCCCAGGGGAGCTGCCTGATGCCCACTCTCTGTCCAGAAGGGCCACTATCTGCACAGAGGGATGAGGAGGCCCCTTCCCTCTCCTGCCCTCCCCAGCTCAATAGAAGAGGTCACGGGAGGATTCCAAACCTCCTTGGCCTCACACAAACTACCAAAAGTCATAACAGTCTCAAAGTAATCCTAATAACTGTAAGCGAAGGTGATACCACTTTCCACACACGTGGACTTCATCATGTTATAAAATGCTGTTTCCAGCCTTCGGTTGTATGAAATCCTCACAATGAGCCTGTGAGTTGGGTGTTATTACTGCTGCTGTTATTGTCATCCCCATGGCAGAGTGGAGGAAACTAAGGCTCAGGGAGGTCAAATGACTTTTTCAAGAAATTTGGGACAGCCAGGACCCCAAGGGTCCTCCCTGGGAAGCTCTCCCAAAGTGTTGCCTTCCCAGACTCCCTAGGCTGCCTTTCCACCACACTCTGTGCTGCAAACTGTCTGTCTCTAAGGAGGCAGAGGACTCACTTCTGCCAGGAACCTCTGCACAGTCCTGCGGCCTGAGTGGATGCAACCACTCCCCTCCTCCCATCTTGCTTTAGTCTGGGCTGAGAGATCAGTGGGGTGGGGCCTGGTGCTCAAAGCTTTTGTGCTATCCAGCCACATTACTGTTCCCTCTGCAAGGCCCTTGTACCTGACCAGGTGTGCCTGCAAGGGTGGGAAGCAAGAGTGTCCTGGAACTGGTCATGGGCCTCTAACCAGATCCTGCCCCCAAGCTATCTCAAGAGGGCAGTGTGGGAGCTCAAGGCTGGAGCAGCTTGGAGCCACCTCTCCCTTCCACAAAGCCACTTCTCCCTTGGTGCTCCTGCTGGCTGACTGCTTTGTGTGATATAACTGGCCCTAGAGGGCTGTCCTGGGTATGAGTACGGTGCTTATAATGAGCACTGCCTGATCTTGCCAGGAGGAAAGGAGTGGTTGTGGCTGTCTTCCCTCTCAGAGGAGGATGCCAGGTCGGGGGAATGTCCCCACTTCATGGCTGGCCTTGTGTGAGGGGCTCAGTACAGAGGGCACCACAGCCCTGGTTCCAGGACTGCTCTGCTGTGCAGCCTTGGGTGGGACCCTCAAAGTCTCTGGGTGTCAGTGATGAAAGGGGGAGCTGGCTGCTGACCTCTTGTTGGGTCCCTTCTGGCCCTAACACCTGAGTCTCTGACTCACCACGTTCAGGTGGAAGCTCTTTTCAACCCAGGCCTTGGCCTCTTGGAACTCCTCCTTCAGCTCCATGAGGTAGAGGGTGTCGAGGGAATCAATGACCGTCGCCCCACTGAGGCCCCCTGCAGGCACAGAGAATCACAGTCATTCTTATGCTTTCTGTCCCCAAGTAGATAAGCCATCATCCTCCAGACTCCTGCCTTTGCTAGTGCCTGAGCAGGCTCCAAGGCAAAGGCTGTACCCATCCATACTCCAGAGGACTCTGGTGCCACCAGTGAAGGTAAGGCCAGGACCCAGTGTCCTCCCTGTGGGCTGTTTCCTCCTTAGAGCATCAAAGAGCATCCAGGGCGACTGAACTCCTGGGCCAAGCCACTTTCCAGACCTTGGCCCACTCTTCTGTAGCAAGTCAACTATCAGTGCACCTGGTACCTGCTTCTCTCTACTTTGGCATACAAAAATCATTAACAAAGGTGCAAGCTCTCCTATTGTTCAATTCCATCCCTCATTTTATTCTAAGAGAAAAAATGAAGATACTCATAAATATTTAACCAGGAAGAGATTTGTTGCAGTACCATGTATCATGGGGGGAAAGTTGGGGAAAGGTCTCCAAGCCCAACAATAGACAATTAGTATACAGGCTGGGTGTGGTTGCTCACACCTGTAATCCCTTTTTGGGAGGCCAACATGGGAGAATTGCTTGAGGTCAGAAGTTTGAGACCAGCCCAAGAAAATGGTGAGACTCCCCCCAAAAAGCCAGCCATGGTGGCAGGCATCTTTAGTTCCAGCTATTTGGGAGGTAGAGGCAGGAGGATCTCTTGAACCCAGAAGTTTGAGACTGCAATGAGCTATAATGATGACACTGCACTCTAGCCCAGGCAACACATCCTATCTCAAATTTAAAAAGAAGGAGAGAGAGAGAGAGAGAATTAGTTATTGTGGCTCAAACATAAAATAGGATACTATGCAGCCATTTGCACAAGTGAGGTAGACCTTATGTTTATTGGGGATACATCCAGGGAATTTTTTTTTTTTTTTGGAGACAGAGTCTCAAGCTGTTGCCCTGGGTAGAGTGCTGTGGTGTCACAGCTCACAGCAACCTCCAACTCTTGGGCTTAAGCGATTCTCTTGCCTCAGCCTCCCAAGAAGCTGGGACTATAGGCGCTCGCCACAATGCCAGGCTATTTTTTTGTTGCAGTTGCCATTGTTGTTTTAGCTGGCCTGGGCCGGTTTGAAGCTGCCAGTCTCATGTATGTGGCTGGCATCCTACCCACTGAGCTATAGGCACTGCCTGGATCTTCTTTTTTTTTTTTTCAAGTAGGTTAAAAGGCTCAGCACCTGTGGCTAAAGCAGCAAAGGCACCAGCCACATACATCTGGGATGGGAGGTTCAAATCCAGCCTGGGCCCACTAAATAACAATGACGGCTGCAACCAAAAAATAGCCAGGCGTTGTGGTGGGTGCCTGTAGTCCTAGCTACTCGGGAAGTGGAGGCAGGAGAATCTCTTGAGTCCAGGAGTTTGAGGTTGCTGTGAGCTGTGATGCCACAGTGCTCTACCCAGAGTGACAGCTTGAGGCTCTGTCTGAAAGAAAGAAAGAAAGAAAGAGAAAGAAAGCACCTTGTATAAATTATAAAGCAAAGTGTGAATGTACAGAATGAGTCTGGAAGGATGTGATTCCGTGCTTGTCTCTGAGTGCTGAGATTATAGGTACTTTTTGAGCTTCAGAAGGCTCATGGGTTTTTTTTTTTGTTTGTTTGTTTGTTTTTTAAACAGTCTCACTTTGTCAGCCTCAGGAGAGTGCCATGGCATCATAGCTCACAACCACCACAAACTCTTGGGCTCAAGGGTTCCTCTTGCCTCAGCCTCCTAGTAGCTGGGACTACAGGTGCCTGCCACAATGCTCGGCTATTTTTAGAGACAGGGTTTTGCTCTTGCTCAGTCTGGTCTTCAACTCCTGAGCTCAGGTGATCTACCTGCCTTGGCCTCCCAGAGTGCTAGGGTTATAGGCATGAGCCACCAGGCCCAGCCTAGCTCATGATTTTTTTTAATAATCAGGAATTTATGTCCATTTTTTAAAAGAATAAGGAAAGGTTAGGCAAAAACCCAAATAAAAAAACAAACAAAAATTTTCACTCTTTCTAAGACAGTGAGTACACAAAGAGCAAACTGCCAGGCCTAGCTCTTGCCTTTGAGCTTTAGAGTCTTTTCCTGGGCGTAGAGGCTGAGATAACTGTGCCCATGAAGTACTGGGCAGAAGAATAATGAGGAAGACCTCGTCTGGCACAACCAGAATCTGGAGCTGTAGAGGACTGTGAGAGAGGAGGCGAGGGAGAAAGAGATGTGCCTGGCACCATCCGGATGGCTTCTAGGAGGCAGCCGCTGCCTCCCATCAACTTTTTACAGTACAACTACAGAGTCTTTGCAGGCAGCAGCAATTTCCTTCAGGGACCAGAGTGTTGTTCTAAGAGGAGTAATTGTTCCTCCAGTGTCCTCCCTGTCGAGGCTGACAGCACCGACAGGCACAGGCTCTGCCTTCCCCCAGCGGAAACTCTAGAACCTGCTGGGCCCCCTTGAGTCTGAGGCATGGCCTTGCCAGCACCCCCAGAACTCAGAGTTAATTAGTGGCTCCTAACTGTTCTCTTGCACTGACTTTGTAGGCAGAGGAGCCTTCTGAAGCTCAAATGCTTACCTGCTGCTCTAGGCCAGGCAAGTCTGATAAAGGCCTGGAAAAGAGCAGGAGGGAGAGAGAGAAGGAGGGAGGGAGGAGTTGGGAACAAGGTAAGGCTGGAGGTTAAGTTATTGGTTACCAGAGGGACAGTTGGTAATGGAGAGAGGAGAGGGCTGGAGGAACTTGGTGGTTCCCTGACCCAGTCCTGGGATGGCTAAGTATTTGGGTTGAAGTGAATTTCCAGATGTTTAGCCCCTCCCACGCTCAAGGATTGGTAGGAAAACACATCAAAGCCAGAGTTAGACCTGATCCTTTCCCATTTATGCCAGCTGCCTCCCCCGCAGGTGGCAGGGCTGAACAAAGTTTCTGGGGATGTCTTTACCCTGTGGAGGAGCTCAGGCAAGGAGATGGAAATCTCGGGCAGCTGAGCACGGTTGAAACATGCCTGGGCCACAGGCTGCTGGCCTGGCACTCACACTCCTGGCTCTGTAGCCCCACAGCTTCATTTCATACATGAGGGACCCAAGAGGGGTGGAGACACGCTCAATATTAGGCCAAGGGAGGACTGGCCCAGCCCCAGGCTGAGGGTAATGTGTTTTCCATGGCATCTAGAGGCCTTTTAATTTTCTGTGAAAACAACTTCGCATTTGATCTGACCCACTCGCTCTGCTGTGAGTCCTTCAAGGCCAGGGAGAGGCAGCCTATGGTGTCTAATTTCTGAATCCTGCTCTGAGCTGCCTGGTGTTTCACCCCATGGGCCTTCCTTCCTCTGGGCCAGGCTGGGAGGGCAGCCAGGGCTCCTCGTGACCAGTTCTCCCATCTCTGGGGACACTCGATGCAGCCAGCTAAGAAAGCAGCTTGTTAAGAGGTTTGTTGGCAAGGTCTTGCCCCTGCTCCTGGGCTCTTAAATCCTTCTCTTGGTTGGCTTCCCGCCCCTGCCCCCACCTGGTACACAGTTGAGCTGTGGTCCAGCAAGGCACTTATTGGAAAGCCTTTCATTCTAGGCCAAAGGTTACTCCACAGCCAGGCTGGGCAGGAGAGAAGGCCCTATCCCAAATTCAACCCTATCTGCACCTGTGGCCTCCGGGGGAAAGACATACTCCCTGTTCAGTAAACAGGCCCATGATTTATATGCAAAGAGCCAACAAGGCACAAAAAATGTCACACAGCCAACTTGGATGCTTTCTTGGGGCTGCCCTGGGGGGTGGGGGGATTCCACATTGGTCTGGAAGGAACCTAGCTCCAGCTCTAAACCCATGGGTTTCACGAAGGACACCTCCCCCATTCCTTCCAGGACAGGAGGCAGTGGGGTGTGTTAGAAAGAACACAGGCCCAGCAATCAGACAGTCCTGGGTTCAAATCCCAGTATGGGTCAGCAACACATCTGCTCTAAACATCAGAGTGCTCATCTGTAAAATGAGATTCAGAACACTGGGTTAGGGCACTGGGGAGCCACTGCAGCCTGCTGAGCCAGGATAAATACATCATTTACATAGCTGGCCTAAATACAGCTCTGTATGTTTGGCACAGACTAAGTGCTTGATAAATAAGCTTACTGTTCTTATTTCTGGAGACTCTTAGCTCACCTTGAAAGAGTGGCCTAGAGACTCCCTTTGGGAAAGCAGAGGGTAGGAGATGCTCCAATTTGACTCTTCTGACCTTTGGCTACTGAATAAAGCCTTTCCAAGGCAACCCTGCACTGTGGCTAAAAGGCTGGCTTTGATGGTAGGGAGAGGCATGTTCAAATCCTGGCTCTGTTACATACTAGCTGTGCGTGAGGGAAGGTTATTTTATCTCTGTGCCTCATTCACCTCATCTGCAAAACAGGGATGACAGTGGGATCAACCTCAGAAGGCTGCTAGAAGAGTTAAATGAGGCAGTGGATGGACAGGGGTTGGCATGATGTTGGGTACATGTGGCCCCCTTTGCTCTCAGCTGGCGCTGGGCCCCTTCACAAAGTCTTCCGGGGTCACTGAGGGCTGGTAGTGTGGCTACATTCTTGGCCCTCTTTTTTTACCTTGCAGGGCAGTGTGGGCAAGAGATTGCAGTTTACAAAACCCCTGGCCCATCTTAAAGGAAGACTGTGTTATGGGGTCCATCTGTATCTGCCACTGAGGCCATTATTACCCCGATCTGGGTGTATATCTCCCTCCAAAAGGGTCTTCCTACCTTTAGAATCCCTTCCTTTCACCTCCAATTCAGACTCTATGTTGCTGTCTGATGTGTCTTTCTAAAACCATCTCTAACCGTGTCTCTCCCCAGCTTGGAAGCCTGCAATGGTTCGACAGCCCCAGTACCCAAGCAGTAAGAAGCACACACTCCTGCTTCCACACTTCTGCCCATGAGGTCTCCTCTGCCATGAAATCTTCTCTATGTGTTTTGGAGTGTTTAAAGCCTACACATTCTCCAAAGTCAGCCTCTCAGTGGCAGCCTTCCCACTTCCATTAGCTAACCAC